CAACAAGCCAGCGGAAGGCCCGGCTGTGCCGCAGTAACGCACCTGCTGCTGGCCTGGCGGTGCCACAAACTGCAGGGGAGACCGCTGGGTTGGGGCTGGATCCTGGGGAGCCTCCCACAGCTTGGGCCCAGCCGGGGACAGGCCAGCCACGGGCATGGCCCCCACCACAGTAAAACCTGGGAGGAACCACAGCAAGAGGGAAGAGCCCTGCCAGGCTCAGCCTGGACCAGCCCCCCGCCCCGGCCCTCCTGGCCACTGCCGCAGGAACCTTCCCACGTCCTGCCTCCTGCTCTCAGCTGAGGGCTTTCCGGGCTCGCCAGCCTGGGCCTGTCTGTGCCAGCAGCGGGCAGCCCCACGGTGCTCTCCGCACACCGCCCGACCCAGCAGCTCAAGCGCTCACCTGCCAGCCAGGGCCAGGGCCTGAGCGAGGGAACGCCAGGCAGCCCGGCCCGGCCAGCGGCGTGGGAGAGGGGCGCAGCCAGGCAGGGCCTCTGAAGACAGACACCGCTCCACCCAGCTTTTAAAATAGAGTCTTTAATTGCTTCCATGGACACACGTTCGCAGTTAGTCGTGGGCAAGAGCAGCAGCACACCCTCAGCAAAGCCTCTGGGAGAGCACCGAGCCAGAAACGTTGCATCCCGGACACTGCTCCAGCCACAGCAGCAAGCCCTGTGGTCCCTCAGGCCGGCCCGGCGAGGCACGTCAATCGGAGCGCCCCTCAGCCAGGATCAGGGCCGGGTCGGCCCTGGCCCCTGCAGGGTGGGGCTCCCCGAGCAGCTAATGCCAACAGAGTCCCTGGAAGCCAAGGGCGCGAGCTTTCACCCCAACCTACTCAGTCGTGTTAGAAACTCGGCTCACGGAGGGTCCTCTGCCCCGTCACAGCTCGGAGCCACCCCTCGTGGGCGGGCGGGGGGATTGCTACCGTGCACCTGCCCCAAGCCCCCCAGATCAGTCCGAGCCAGGTGATGAACGAGTCCTGGCTCCACAAGTCAGACCCTGGAGCTGCCTGCAGGCCTGACCGCCCGAGGCACTCGAAGAAAGGGCGTCTGAGGCACTGGCCCGCGACAGAAGAGGGGCGCCAGGAGGGGCGCACAGCCTGGCCCCACCCCTCCTAGACAGAGTGCCGAGGGCCGGTCCTCTGCAGACGCACAGCAGCCGTTCGTTAGCGGAAGCAAGTTAGCGAGATGCCAGCAAGGGCTCTCTTGTGACCTTCGCCTTCTAGGCCCAGGCCTGGATTTGCAAGGGCCCGCCTAGGAGAGCTCCGAGCAGGCAGGGGCACAAAGCAGCCCAACGGCAGAAGAGGGCCCTTGCTGCGAGGAAAGGTGGCTGGAGAGCTGAGGCGGCCGCCGGGCGGCCTGGCTTGGGAGGAGAGGCATCGCCTGGAGCTGCGGGTTAAGTGTCTCCCTCAGGCCAGGCTGTCCAAGTCCCTGGCTGGCTCAGCTGGGCACTCGACAGTCCCCTGCTCCTGACTGGGAGCTGTCA